TATAGAGAGAGAGAGAGTAGACATGTCTATATATATATATATATATATGGCCTTGCCGATGCCGAGGCCCAAGGTCTGCAGCTGCTTCCCAAAATGGACTCTATACTAGGGGGCACTGTCTTGAAACATCACGGCTACACCAACCTGCTTGCACATGTTTGTATAGTTACAGAATCCCTGTCGAAAAAAAAGCTCCACCCTTTTCTTCTCTGAGTTCCAGCTCGCAGTGCTCCGCTTCGCCGTCTGGCCACTCTACGACTTAAGACTGGGCTTCGACAGATCCGGGCGAGAGTTTTAGAAGCACTCAGCTTTAGAAAAAAACCTAAAGCACTCAACCATGGGGCTTCCTCTATGATCTTATCTTTATTTCTTCATGCCGGGTCCTGGGTTTGTACTGGGGCCGAGGGCTTCCGGGGTTTAGGGTTTAGGGTTGAGTGTTTCCGGGGGTGCTTCCTGTTTGGCTTAGCAGATCTTCCTGTCGAGGCCCTGCGAAGTCAGCTACGACCTGGAGTCACCCTGCATCTGAATTTTTCCTTGGGTTTAGGGTTTAGTGTCTATATATATATATATATATATATGGGTTTCAGGTTTAGGGTTTATGTTAGGGCTCTTTGAGGCGATTGCAGATGCAGGGCTTCGCAGGGAGCTACAGGCCGGCTCGGCTACTCTACAGCAGCCCTGAGCTACAACCCATCAAGACTAGGCGGGGAGCTCAAGGGGCTGCAGGGTGCTTGCTCCGGAGTGCTGCCTCACAGCACAGCTCGGAGTGTCGACTCCCAGAGGCTGGTCAGCACCGCCGCCTTGTCCAATCCGCCACCGCCCCGCGATCCCGATCCGCCTCCCGATCCGCCTGAGGGTGGATCCCGCGGGTCACGCTTGGCCAGAGGGCGGAGATCGATGATCGGTGGAGGCGGGGCTGGCTTCTTCTTCTCTTTCGGCCCCGCCTCCTTCTCGATCTCGCGGCGGAGATCCTCAGAAGTCTCCGTGTCCGCTCCTCCATTACCCGCCAGCCACTCCTGGTGCTCCCATTCTCCGTGCTTGAGACAGCTGCTCCAGGGACGCCGCCCGTCGTGCCACTGACGGTAGGCGAGGCATGTGGCGGAGCGACGATGGTTCTTGAACCCATGCCTCGTTGGCGCTATGTACGTGCCACAACGCCGGCATTGATATGTGCGGCGAGCCCGGTTCCGGGGAGGCCGCACCCTTGGTGCCTTTGCCGTCATTACTGACATGCTCCGCACCGTGGCTGGCTTGCTTGGGCTGCGGCTCCTCTCGTGCTCTTCCACCTCCACGACCTGCTTGGCCACCTGCTTGGCCTCTCGCTTCGCCCTCTGGTGAGCTCGCCTGTGCTTGCCCAGAGTCGGAGACGGCTCTCTGTCCCGGTCCTCGGCTCTCAGGAGGTGCTCCCGCAAGGCTTCAGCCTTCGCCTCGTTCCTTGCTGGGCCTCACTTGAGGGAGGGAGAACGGGCTCCGGCACTCCTGCTGCTGCCTTTGCCATCGCCGCTGCTGCCGCCGCGGCCTCCGCTGCACGTCGTGCGGTCTCCTCCGCCTGGTGCTTCTCCGCCGCATGGCGTCAACTCTTTCAGCTCTCTCCCTCTCCGTCGCTGCTGCCCCGTGGGAGGAGCTCGACTGCGAGTCGCTACTTGGGCTGCGACGTCTGCGACGGGGCTTGGGTCGACGGTCCGGGCTGCTTGAGCGGGAACGGTGGCGGCCTCGCTCCTCGTCCTTCTTTCCACTTCGTCGGCCCATGACCTGCCAGGACATATATCTATATAATATTTAAAATTCTTATATTTCTCTACATGAAAAACTATATGTATATATATATATATATCTCTCTCTCTCTCTCTCTCTCTCTCTCTCTCTCTCTCCTTTTGCACGGTGACCGTAGCCACACGGTGCATGACTGCACACGGTGACCGGAGCCACACGTCTGCATCCCATCTCTGCAGAGGTGACCGGAGCCACAACTCTGCCATCTCTGCAGACGGTGACCGGAGCCACACATCTGCATCCCGTCTCCGAAGACGGTGACCGGAGCCACACGTCTCTCAGGCCAGACGGCGACCGAAGCCGCACATCTGCCGTCATTCGAGTGCAAACGGTGACCGAAGCCACACGTCTGCCTTCTATAGCAGATGGCGACCGAAGCCGCACATCTCCATATATATATATATATATATATAATATTATATTATATTATATTATATTATATTATATTATATTATATTATATTATATTATATTATATTATATTATATTATATTATATTATATTATATTATATTATATTATATTATACTCTCTCTCTCTCTCTCTCTCTGGTCTTTGTCGCTCCCGCCCGCCTTCACGTGGGAGGCACCCTTGTCAACCTGCAGGCACACATGCAGGCACTCTTAAACCCCAAACCCGAAAGGAAACCCCAGTCTCGAAGGCGCATGCAGCAGGACAGGCTGGCTCATGCCGACGTGAATGTGCAAACACTTGTTGCGGGCCACTGCAAAACTCCGGGTGTGAGCGCTAATATCCTACGCCTACCGAGGTTCGGGAAAATCGTTGCCATGCATGATCCCTCGGCTATATATAAATGGAAGACCGAGTGCAGCCGGGAATATTGCATGCTTGCCGTGACCGCTGCCCCGCTCACGCCCGGAAACACGAGGGAGTGCATCCGGCAATCCACCGGCAACGGCCGCAGCCGTTGGGCCGGGCAAGCAGCCGTTCCTCCATCGTGTATCCCGCAATGTCCTTCCGCTTCTGTCCCGCAGAGGCTGTCAGCTCCGCAGGGGCTGCCGCAGGCTTGCGAAGCACCGTGGGTGCTGCTGAGGGCTTCCGAAGCACCGCAGGGGCTGCTGAGGGTTTCCGAAGCACTGCAGGCTTACACTTAGGACGCGGCACTGCCTTTGCTTCTGGCTCTGACAGTGGAGCCGGCACTAGCATTAACTCTGCTGCTGCCGGTCTCTGCCTTACTGCTGCCGCAGGCTTCCGTTTCACGGTACTCTCCGCACTGGCTGGCGGCTCCTGCTTCCGTTTGCCTGCTAGTGCCCTGAGTTCTGCAGCGACACTCGGGCCTTCGCTGCACTCAGACTTCTTTTCTATCTTCACGTCCTCCAACGCAAGAAGCCGGGCTGGCGGCTGATCTTCCAGCGGGAGACAGCTGGGCATAGCATCTCCACTTGCCTTGGCATCTCCACTTGCCTTTGCACCTCCACTTGCCTCCGCCGGCTTGATATCGTCCAGCTTCCTAGCCACAGCATCCATAACGGCACTAGCCGAAGAGGCGAAGCGATGCAAGCTCTGCTCTGGCTGCTCCACCACTATGTCGTTGCTCGATGGGTATCGCCGCTTTTTGTACTGCACCGTGAGGGCATTCAGCTTCTCCAGATCTACTTTGGGCTTCGCCGCCGGCTTGTTGCTGAAGATCCGAGCACGGAGTGCTGCCGGGAGATCTTGCATCACCGCCGGAAGGCTCGGCAGCCAATCCACCGGGTCGCCTTTGCCCTGCAGGCCTCTCCTGAAGCGAGCCTTGAACTCAGGAAAGTCCTTCGTGAACATCGTTTGATCAGGCACTGCCTCCTGCCGTACCATGTAACCGAACATCCACACAGCTGCACAGGTGCCCTCGGTCGGACTCCGAAGGCCTAACTCTGCAAGCATCGGGGCTAGAAGGCCTAGGACTTCGGCCGCCGAAGGCTGCCTCTGCAAGGCTTGCCACTGATCTTCCGTCATGTACAGCGGGAAGTTCGTAAAGTCTTGCAAAGTCTTCCGTGCAGCAGTCGCGGCCGGAACGGTCTTTTCCTGGACCATATTTGAAATCATCTCCTTCATCCTCCCCGCGGTCTCCATACCCCAGCACGCATCGTCCAGCTCTGCTAGAATCTGGCTCGCGACCTCTGTCGACATCGACGAGCTCTTGCCGAGCATGGTTTCAAGCACACGACCCTGCTGTCCCTGCAGAAGTGCAAAATTCGGCAGTGCCATCGTCTGCCGTAGGAAGCCTTGAGCTGCCTTCAAGTGATTCAAGACTTGCGACATCTTGGATGTCGCACGTGAAAAACGCTTTGCTTGAGCCAAAACTATGTAAGGCAGCACAAAGTTCATATATGTTATATAAATAACTCCAAATAACTTTAAAAAAGCTTTGAAACAACGAAAATACACAACTCCTAATAACTCCACATAACGTTTTTCGTCGTCAGCCGATTTCAAGATAACTCAACATAACTTCCTTAAAAAAAGGGTCGAAGTTATTTGGACTTGTGGAGTTATGTTGAGTTATGTTGAGTTATGTTGAGTTCTATGGACTTACTAAGTCAACATAACTTCGGGGCTACTTAGGTAGTCGATGGTTAAGGGTAAGTTTAGGGCTCCAGCAGTTCACATTTTAAATTCAAGGTTTAGGGTGAAGGGTTGATTGTTTGCGGGTTTTGGTCGCTGAGTGTTATTCGAAAAGTTCATACTTTGATTCCTTTTCCATGTGGAAGATATGACAGTTGAATTCGGGACCCTGTAATATCACCACTTGCTTTATGGAGACCCGAATTCCCAACCGTCAAAAAGCACCTCCTCATGTTGCGGTGTTGCATCATAGCCCTGGCTATCTGATAAATAAATTTCAATCGCGCCACCATAAACTCTACAAGCCATAAGCTCTAGAGCGTGCGACTGTAAACTCTAAACCCGCGGACCCTGATTCCTAAACTCGGAGCATAGATACAACAACTTTCTATCGGGTTCCCGATGAGCTTTGGTTACAGCACAGTATAGTATTTCCAAAACCCCATGGGAGGCTGCAGCCCTTTTTTTATGATGTTCAAGATTGCGATGCCTGAAGATACCAAACTACAAATCCTAAACCCTACACGTAGTTTCCAGGTTAGTATGGCCTTTATCTTTTAAGATGCCATTCTCCCTCAAAAGCCTCGCCCCCAACACCCATGAATAAGTTGTATGGTTTAGGGATATGTACTCCTGGTCGTTGTCAATGTAATCGTGTGTCAAGGCTCCGGCGTTCGAAGGGCTTCGTGCGGCATCGGACATTGCCTGAGCCCCGAACCACTTCACTCAAGGGCCCCAAGCCGAAAGCCTCGAACCGTTTTCCCTAAACCCGCAACTTCGAAACTACAAACAAAAGCCCTACAACCTTAAACCCTAAACGCCTAAACCGAAAGCCCATAACAAAGGCCTCCCAGTCAGCTCTTTCCCGCATTGTGGTCTTAGGTTCCTTATAAAATTGCCACTAAACTCCCCCATCCCAACAGCCAGCCCTTTTTATTTTGCTCCCAGGTTACTGGGCATACTAGAGTACAGCCCTGGAATTCTACCCTGCGCCCCGAATAGCAAAAACGAATTGACCAAAGCCCGCCTGAACACAGCCTGAAGGACGAAGCCTCAGATCGTAAGCTGAAACCTTAAACCACCAGGACCCAGAGTAGGCCCTTATTCCCAAAAAAGAACCCTTTGTTTCCCTAGGTTACTCTTAGGTCTAGACCGACCCCAAATCTATGCCTGAGTTGTTGTTGCTGTTGGTTTTCTAGAACATAAGCTTTCCTAAACCATTGCCCGAAGGATGACCAAGCCCCGCAGGATATCAAGGGTCAAGATTCCCTCTTTTACAATGAGCGCACGGCTGCGGCTTTAAAGTTCCACTCGTGAAGGGGCTTTGGTTTAAGGCTTACGGCGGTTTAAGGCTACCTAGAGTCTCGAGTACCAAGTTTGTTGTACTCATGTATGTATGTACGTATGTATTTATATATGTATGTACGCAAGCTTGTTGTATGTATGTATGCATGTATGTATGTGCATGGCTGGCTGGCTGTCTGGCTTGCCGGCCGGCTGGCTGGCTGGCTTCCTGGGTGGGTGGAAGGATGGATTGATGGATGTGTGTAGTAGTTAGCTGGTAGGTAGGTAGGCAGGTAGATATTCCTGTTTGAGTATTGTGGTTATAACACGTCATGTTACGACGTACATTGTTTTGTTTCGTTTCATTGTCCCTTAAGTCTACCCATTTTCGACTGAACCCAGAATCCTAAACATGCCCTGAATCGTCACGGTCATACATGAAGCTTTCATTCTAATAGCCTTATATGCCTTAAAGCCTGAACCCAAGCCGAGCCCTGCACCGTAAACCCTAACACCTTAACCCTAAACCCTACCTTAACCTACCAAACCCTACTTTTTTGTAGGGCCCCTATAAACTCCATATTAGGGTTTAGAATAAGAACCTACAAAAAAGTAGGGTTTGGTAGGCTAAGGTAGACATAAACCCTAAGACCTCAAACCTTGAGCTCCAAACTCATGTCCGAAGCGGCTACAGACTTCCTCGATGAAGGGACTAGCTGCGGTTAGGCTGTACGGTTCAGGGTTTAGGGTTTCGGGAAGTTTCGGGTTTAGTGTCTAGGGCCGAGGGTTTCTAGTCAATACTGCTTAAGTTACAGTATGGACATGGGACCCAGGAGATCCCAATGCCCCTACTGCTGCTAGAAGCTGCCCCAAAAATGAGATTCTGTTTATTCAGGCTCCTGTCTCACATTTTGGGCACCCTTAATCCTAACTAAACCCTCAACCCTGAAACCTAAACCCTGAAACCCAAACCCGAAACCCTAAACTTTAAACCCTGAACTGCCCTAATCCCTACATCCTAAACCTCAAATCCTAAACTCTGAACCTCCGGCTCTAAACCCTAAACCTCAAACCCTGAACTATAAACCCAGGTCCCTAAATGCTGAACTCTTCGTTCTCATCTCCTGAGAGGCTCCATGGCGACTTTAAGACCGCGAACTTCTTCCTTCGCCGCGTGGGCGAGGGGGAGGCCGTGGGGTTCCTTGTCGTGCTTCGTTGGGATGTCTAGGGTTTAGGGTTTAGGGGTTTAGGGGTTAGGGTTTAGGGGTTTCGGGTTAAGGGTTTTCGGGTTCAGGGTCCAGGTTTAGGGGTTCAGGGTTTAGGGTCCAGGGTTTAGTGTTTAGGGTTCAGGGCGGGGCGCGAGTTGAGTTGAGTTGGGATGAGATTTTCTGCATGACTCACAGCCTGAATCCTGCTGCTGAAGGCAACCTACTATTTGCTTATAAGAAACACCCAACAAATGAAAATAACAATCCCTATATTACCCCCATAAGGGATATATTTTTTATTTTTTGGTGGTTCTTAAGCAAATAGTAGCAACTGTGGCCATCATTGGAGACGAAGTTTAGTAAGGCTCGAAACGCTTAATTGTGTGATTGAGCCCGGGCCCTCAAACTGGACCCTGACTGCCAGGTAGCACCTTGGGACTTAGGGAGATTGTTGATTTTCTGGCTTTGTAGACCTCCTTTTTGAGATACCTCAAAATTTGATTCAAAACCGGAACAACCCCCCTCCCTGAACCGTAATACCCTAAATCCCTTACAACCCCAAAGGTAGGAAGCTGGATTAAGGCCAAATAGTGCTGTGGTTCCCTATACATTAAACTTACTCTTCAGGATGGAGGCCGTTGGGTTTCCAACTTTCGGGCTTCTACTATAACCCTAAAGATCCACCCCTTGCGCTCACTTTCATATATAAAATGGGACTGCGGGGCCACGTTTTGGGGTTTCACACTGTCAACATCCATGGGCTTCTCATGATGGGCCGAGATCACCAGAACAGCTCAGGGTTTAGGCTTCAGCTGACGTCAGAGATTTGGGTTTAATTTACGGCTCAGGGCCTATCGGGGATGGGGTTTGGGATTGTCATGGTTCAGGGTGGCATGGGTAGCTCTGGGCAGCTTTGGTCAGCGTGGTTGCATCAACTCGTGGGAGTCTTGCTTCTGTTAGCCTGCCCGCAGGCGGTGTTCATGGTCAAGAACCGTGCTGTAGCGCACTGGATGGAAAACGACTTGTTGGACCGTGCTGAGGCCTTGCGGAAATGGGGTGCTGAAACCGAGGCATCCATGCGCAAGTGGTACGATGGCCCCGGCGTGCGCTGCGCATCCCAATCAAGGTGGAGGACTTTTTGGTGGCTGAAGATGCCCCGATCAATGACCCTAAGGGTCCATGTAATTACCTAAATAGTATATGCATTGGCCTTAAAGTACTTCCCATATTGGTACATTGGGCCCAAAGTATATACTATTTGGGTACATGGACCCTTAGGGCGAGAAGAGCAAGAACCTATATCTGCACGAGCAGTATTGCTAGGTTGCTGATGTAGGGCCTGGTTTGCACACACCATCGACAACAGACGCTGGTCTCTACCATCAAATCCTAAAGCCCCCTATCCTAAGCCCACACCCTTCGTTTCTGATCCTCGACAGCCCTTCGATCCCTCCCCTAAGGCCCCAAAGTAGTTCCTTTTGGGGGTTCATATATAGAATCCTATTAGGTATTCTTAAAAAGGAACTACTTTGGGGCCTATGGGTATAGAACCCCCTTAAACAAAAGAAAAATCTCAAACCCTGAAATGAAAGAAGCCAGGGCGCCTTCTGCGAAGCGGCGGTGGTAGATTTCGAGTTTTCGGGCCCCGGCTTTGTGGCAGCCCGGAGCCCCGGAGGGAGGGGAGGGGTTCAGGGAATTCGGTTGCAAGGGTTTGGGGTTTTGATTGTTTGGCGGCAGCTTTGCAGCTTACCCGAAGGGTCCATGTACCCAAATAGTATACACGTTGGGCCCAATGTACCCATATAGGGAATACTTTAAGGCCAATGTATATACTATTTGGGCACATGGACTCTTAGGGTTAGTGAAGCTTCCCAGATAGCCCAGTCCCCGCTGTATTAGGGAATATACATTAGATCGTTATAGGGCCTTCATATTGTGATTTATATGCCATATATTCCTTATTTATGTAAGGGGCATTGGGCTCTCGACTCTGGCTTCGTGTTTGGTTTTCGAAGTTGAGCGTTCGGGTTGTTGTCTTCTGGGGCTCTGAGCTTCAGGATTTTGGCCCTCAAGCTGTTTGGTTTTGCGTTATTGAATTTGGGTTTAGCGTTGTTGGTTTTAGGTGATGCGTCTAGCGCAATCCTCAAGTAAGGAGGTTTTTAGAACGCTTGACAAGACCTGCAGGGATTACAGGTTTAAATAACCGTACATAGTAGGCTGCGTGTTCCTTACGCACCAACAATAATCGATTAATTGCAGCCTTTGCTCAAGATTTTTGTTTGTCATACTAATGTTAATTGTGTGGGCCTAAGGTCCGACAATAGAGCCCTCATGAAATTGTCGACTTGCAGAACCTTCTTGGAGCTAGGGATGTGCGATCAATATGTCCAGTCTACATACGAACATGTTTCGAAAAGATTTCCCTCGACATCAGACCTTGCATTTGCTTAGCCCCCTATGTGCAAGCTCTCATGTCAAGTGGTTCGGCAGTTCATGCTGTGTCAGTTAGGAAACGCGCACATTGCCTCGTTAGCCAGCGGCAGCCAGCGTCCTTCGTCTTCGGCTTTGGCATGCTTGCGAGCAGGTGCGGCAGGAGTTCGCACAATATCGGCGGCTGCACGACGAGTTACATTGACAGCCGACTCTAATCGCATGGAGCCCCAAGATTACGGCGGAAGGGTTCTCGATTGCAGGACGAGCTGAAGCAGCAGAAGGATGGGAATCCCAAGCTGTGCACTGCGTTGGTGCGGCTTGCTTTGTTTTGAGCTGGGGCTGACGCCAGCAGCCGTCGCAGAGAAAGTGAATCTAGATGAAAACCGAGGTCTGGCAGTCCCAACCCAGAAAGCCCAACATCCCTTAACTAAGGAATATAGCTTATAAATCATAAGATGAAGCCCCAAAATAATGTAAAGTATATTCCTCAATTAAGGGGTATTGGGCTCTCTGGGAAACGCAAACTTGCAAATCCCAGGTACCCGTACTAGACAGACAAAGCCTGCATCCTGGAACTTTGGGGGATCCCCTGAACCCGAAACCGTAGCCACTTCTCAGCGTAGTTGAGAGGTCGATCTGGCGAATTTCCTCTTCCCGGATCTGAAGATGGACCGCGAGCCCTTTCAAAACGGTAATTGCTTATATTGAAGGAAAGGGTCTTCGTATAGGGTTCTGATGGGTTCTATATAGGCTACCCCAAACAGGTAATGTAGGGCTGTTGGGATCCATAGGGGTTCGGGGATTGGTCCGTCTTCACTCAAACGGTCCTAGAGGTCTATAGGGTCCTATATAGGGTTTAGGGCGTAGTTTAGGGTCTATAAACCCTAAACCCTAAACCCTAAACCCTAAACCCTAAACCCTAAACCCTAAAACCCTAAACCCTAAAACCCTAAACCCTAAACCCTAAAACCCTAAAACCCTAAACCCTAAACCCTAAAATAGGGTTTACTCGAGCTTTCAGGGCAAGGGTTTCGGGCCCAAAGCCCGTCTTGTTTTGTGTGTTGTTGGGCGTACCCATAGGCCCCAAAGTAGTTCCTTTTTAAGAATACCTAATAGGATTCTATATATGAACCCCCAAAAGGAACTACTTTGGGGCCTTAGGGTAAGTGTACGCTGGTTGAGACCGGCCCACTTGAAGGCTCATTGGGCTGAGGCGCTTCAGCTTCATTTCGGGTATAGAAGGAACCCCAAAGCCTTCACCTGCAACCCGAAACCCAATAACAAGCTATTCTTCAGCTTTTAATTCCCAAGCCCCAGCTCAATGCACAGGTTCAGACGCTGGAGGGGCTTCGTAGTCCCGCCTCATGACAGGGGTTGGGGTGAGCTCTGGGGTGTCGCCCGTAGGCGCAGGCGGACTTCCCGATAGACTGATTCTCAGGACCTGTCGACATGTACTTTGGGTGAACCCTACTGTATAAACCGAAACCCCAAGACCCGAAACCCAAAGCCCTAGACCGAAACTACCCCAAACCCTAAACAGAAACCCTGTACCTTATACCTTGCCTTCAGCCTTCCCCAAGAGGACCTTCTATCCATGGAGTCCGACCTGCTTTCGTTCTACCATGCCCTGGCCCCAGGGGTGGGCCCCAAATTCGTCTCTCGGGAGCCATACACCTTCAGGGTCTCCGATTCAAGGTGTTTAGAGAGCGAGACGGATTTAGGGTTTGGTGTTTAGGGTTCAGGGTTCTTGAGGGTGTTGAGTTTGGCATCCTACAGTCCTGCAATATACCCCATAGCGCCATGGTAATGATCAAGGACCCTATGTGAATGCCGGGTGTTCAAATATCGGGTGGTTTTTTCACGCAGACCACAGAGCAGATGCAAGCTGGACTACTTACTACTTGCGGGTGGGCAAAGCATCAGAGATCAGAGACTGTGTTTGTGCCGACGAAGATGAACGAGGAGATGATGCTAGCGCCGGGCCGGACGCCAGCGGCAAGAAAGGCCAGAAGACAACCATGCAGCAGGCCAAAACGGCTCTGGTGACATGCAACACGAACCTCCTGGAGATCAACGGGCACTGGACAACTAAGGGTTTAGGGTTTACGGCCTGTTCTCCTAGGTGTGTGCGAACTCAGGGGGTCAGAGCTGGCGAACCCTTTGTGTGCTGCCCTGCGAACCAACCAGGCCTTGCTGAAGCAGTATGTGCAAGATGGTCAGGAGGGGAGATAATACCATATGTAGATTGAAACAGGCATGTTAAGATTAATGTAGGGACCTGATTCAGAAACCTTGGGTCTAGAACCCCAAAATAATAGAACTCATACAAGGAACCCTTCCTACACGAAGCATTGCTTTGGAGCCGCTAGGCTTTCTCCACTACCCCATGTCAATAGGCCCATGTCCCAAGAGACGTCAGGGGTTTAGGGGTTTGGGTTTAGGAATTTGGGGTTTCCTGCAGAGGGAGTCAAAACTAGGAAGCCCTGCGTCTTACATGTTTTTTGGTTCTGGGTCCTCGGTCACTTGCACATATTTTTGTCTGGGTATCGTGACTAACAAGTAGCAAAAATACCCCAAGTTGCTTCAAGTGTTTTATGAAAACACAGTCACTGGCCAGAATAGATGCAAGTATGAACCCCATACTGGGTGCTAGGCAAGGAATCTAAACTGACTTCCCTGACAAGGGCGACCAGGTCATGTACATCCTTACTATGATACTCTACCCGAGGAATCTAAGGACTCATATATAAAGGCTTTTGGGCCCAAAGACCATACTATATAAGGCTTTGGGGCTATTTTTGGTGCGCAGGGTGAAAGCTTAAAACCCCCGTCAAACCCGGAGTTGGTGAGGGTCCAATTAGTCTAGGGGCTTTGGGGTTTAAAGTGTAGGCTCTTTAGGGCTTATAGGGTTTAGGGTTTTAGGGTTGTGGTGTGGCGTCCAGGATTTAGAGTTTAGGGCCTTGGGGTTTAAAGGGGTGGGGATGCAATGGACTTGCTCAAGGCAATTGTCACGCTTTACTAGGTTGCTCGGCGCCGTTTGGGCGTTTGTTGTTATTCTAATTTCGCAGCAGCCTATCCTAGAGATATGTATGCATTGATAGCTTTGGGAGCAATTCATGCACAACCCAGTCTACGAATTGAACATGGGACACTGCCTTAGTCCTGTCATCAAGCCTTAAAACCCCCGTAGACCCAAAGCCCCTCGCTAGATCTCTGCCCCCGAAGGCCCCTACCTGGACTCTAAGGAACCTACCTTTTCAGGGTTCCCTTATATGATTTCTTTATATAAGTCCTCAAAAAGGTAGGTTACTTGGGGTTAAGGTAAGCCCTGACCACATTCGAGGCTCAGCTGATGATTGCTTTCGAAGAATTCGGCACCGGCGGCGACCGGGCTCTCAGTCCTTCTGATTTAGGGCTGAGACTGGTTGCAGCGCGAAAGCCCTAACACCGCAAAGCCCCATCTTGGGCATCATTCTTCGTTTGTGTTACAATAGAAGCCCAAGTTCAAGGGTGTTGTTAATACTTTTTGCAAAACGTTGCAGGGGCTCGTAGCTTCTGGTGTCTTAGATTTGCAGCGTCCGGGTTGCAAGGATTTGCCAAGGGTGCCTTCATACTTCGAAGAAGGTTGTGTTTCGGTGAAGCTAATGGTCTCAACTATCATACTTGTAGGTGCCTAAAACCTGAGCCCAAAAATATGAACCTTTCGAAGGGAGCCTACAAACAGTAATTTGTAGTTCAAGAAAGAGCTTGTGAAGCCCAACTCACCGGGTTGTCCGATGTCCTGTCGCGGGTTGTAAGAAAAGGGTTTAGGGCTTTGCGGTTTCGGGTTTAGGGCCATGCCCATGTGCTGCTTCTTTTTTGATTCTGGCATCCGTTTGGTTGGAGACGTCTCTGGCCCCGCAAGTTCTCACTCCAGCGTAGACTTCATCAGCACCTGGTATGCGTACGCATCCGTGTCATGAAGACGGAGCACGGAGGCATAAGCTACATGTGGTGGCTCATCTCAAGGCCACTGACCCTAAACCCCATGTTATGTAGACCCCTAGACAGAGATAGCAGAACTCCGACAAAGGCTTGGGGCTTATAGGGCTTAACAACACCAGAACTCCGATCAACCGATGTTCAGAGTTCGGAATTTTCCCTGGGCTCTTAAGCGCCTACCTTCTGAAGGAATTATACAAGAAAACCATGATAACAAAACCCTGAAAAAAGGTGTTTTCTGTAGGGTCTGGGTAGGGCTTCCGTATCATGGTTTCCTTCCAAAAGTCCAGAAAAGGAAGTTTCGATGGGTGGTTAAGGAAGGGTTCAGGTACCTGCCATTCATCATGAGTCCGGTACACACCGCGCTACATTGGCTCTAAGGGTTTTGATGCTTTCGACGTTCCAGAGAGCACCATTCCCGACCCTAAAGAGTAATAGCAGTAGTGGTAGCAATAGTTGTTGTCGGCATAGTAGTAGCAGTAGCAGTGTTTGTGTTGGCACCCTTTGGTATTATTAGTTGCATATTGATCTTTATATGACCAGAAACCATTATGAACGCGACGTTTGGTTTTCTTTCTGCTTCCGAGCTCAGTGTCCCCTTCTAGTTCTCGACGATGCCGGGTTTAGGGTCCTAACTTGCGTTTGGATGCCCTATATCCTAAACACACGGCGTTGTTGGTGATGTCCGTAAGGCCATAAGAGACGAGCATGTCTGATTACATCCCGAGGGCCCGCGGAGAATAAAGGGTTTGGGGCCAAGGTATCTCCTGCTTGCATTTTAGGGTTCGGACATGACAGCTGTAACTGATTATAAGGTTGAATTACATTTGGGTTCCTTTAAAGGGTTCTATAAGGGTTGCCATAAGGGATCTAGGGAAGTAGGGGCCTCAATGAGCGAGATGTGGCTTGTGGGTTTTAGAGTAGAAGCCCAAAAGCTGGAAACCCAATAGCCTCAATCCTTAAGAGTCATGTATAGGACATCCCAGCAGTATTTGGCCTAAATCCGGTTTCCAACTTTATGGGGTTTACTGTAAGCATTCAGCCCCTCTCGCTGGTGTTCCATGTTGTGAAGTTTGTGAGTTGCGGGCTTCAGGCCAACTTGCCCTTGCCAAAGACAAAATTCAGAACCTCTCTTTCCTAAGCCTCTAAAGCCTTAAACCCACACCCCAAACCGCTGACACAGGTCTTCATGGTTTCATGAGGCCTAGCCTCCGCATCAAGCCGTAGAGCTTGCAAGCCTCGCTTAGAACACCTCATTGCTTCATAGCCCTTTCTGGTTCCTATAAAGGTACCTCTTCATGAATACTTCAAAGCCCCCACAGCTACAGCCCAGTTATGCTAGACATGCACGGAAGCTCGAAGACTCAGGATTTTCCGCTTACTCTGCTGCTGGCGCACTATGCCCTTGCCCGCTGCGACTACATGCGCCCTGGCTGAAAGCAGAACCAGTCCCTACACTGACGACCTGCATCGGAAGGATTGTCACAGTGTGTCGGATTCTTCTACAGGGAACTCCAGAAAGTTGGAATATGGTTTCATGGTAGGATACCCTATAATTTACCATAGAAGGGTTAGGATAATCATATTCCAACTTTCTGGCTTTTACCTTAGAGCCGCAATCCTCAACCCTTAACCCGCTACCAGCCCAAACCCTCGACTCCCCAGATCGGCTGCACTACTCCGGGAGGCGGAGAGGTTCGATCGTTCCCAACAACAGACCCTCATGTAGAAATTATGATGAAACCTAAAGAATTGTCTAAGCTCTAATTCCTCGGAACTCAATCTCAAACTCAAACAACTTCCTAAACCCTCCAACCCCCAACACCCGCAACCCAACCCTAAACCTTCCCTCATCAAGGCGCTACATGTTGGGACGTGGGTGGACGGTTTGCGCCTCAGCGGTAGCGCTCAAGGAATTCTCAGGGTCGGTATATACAAGCGAACACGTCCTTAAAGTTTTTGTGGGGTTCCGCACCAAATCGATCAGTATGATATAATATAACAATATAACTACTCGTTTATCTCCATGACACTATGCCAGCCCCGCACCCAGGCTATGAGGACTCCCAAACCTCCACCCTTAAAAGATCCAGGCAAGCTGGTGGAGTAAGAGTCAACTACTGCAGGTAGTAGCTGTGTGCTTCAGACCCTCGGGCGCAAAAACTATCGTATGGGCGAATCTCAAAAATTGGGGTTCCCTTCAGGTCCTTTTTACAAGGGTGCCGTACTTCACTCTTGGGGGACCTGAAAAGAGATCCTAATTGCGAGAACTGAGGCTTTGGGCTTTAAGGGCTTCATTTAGGGCCCCGGGCTTTGCCACTTTAAGGTTGAGGGTTTAGGGTTTAGGGGTTTAGGGTTAACTATGTAGGGTCGTGCAAAGCAAAGTATCAACAACAAAGTTACGACAATGGAGACAACAGGGAAAGCCGTTTCCCTCCCTGCACCAGGCCTGCAGTGCCGGGGACGCACGTGTGCTCGCTGCTGTGGACAGCGAGGGTTTGTTTTGGTTTGAAGTTTCGGATTTTCGAGTTTACCTTGGCCCGAAAAAGCCTACCATTTTAGGGTATGTTGTTCTGATTTCCTTGTATGTGTCCTTAAAATGGTAGGTTATTTAGCATCAAGGTAAGTTTTTATTTGTAAGTAAGGCCTTGAATTTTTCTACAGGGCAGTTAGGGCTCAGGGTGTACAACGTTTCAGAGGTTTTGATGCTCCGGGTTTTGGAAGTTGCCACATGTCGTAAGGTTGAGCATGTTTTGGATGTAAGGCGACTGTAGAGCTGTTAGGACTTTAGGGTGATAGGATATGATCTGAGTAACTGCAGCCCTGTTCGGAAAGCCGGGACAAGTACGCAGACTGCCATGTAGTTTAGACTTGTCTCCGGTCATACCCCTGAACCCTGAACCCAAAGCCCCAAACCCCAAGTCGTAAACCCTAAGCCTCTCCCAACTTTTCGTCTCAGGTTTCAATATGCGAGGGTCGTGCAAGGGTCGTTGTGGATCCACTACAGCAACTGCTGCTTTAAGGGTTACTGTGCTGTGTTTGTGGTTCACACTGCTGCGAGGGTTTTACCCGATGGTTATGATGTCAGAGCCTAATACTTTGTAGGCTCTGAGGCTACAGGTCTATGTACATGGGTAGTTGGCTCGATTCTCCTTTTACTCTTACAGTCCGGACATAGCTGCATTATCCCTTTCCTCAAGACCCTATTCTCATCATGGCGGCCCGAAACATGAAAGGTTTGCGGGTTGAGTGTTCTCGGCCAAAAACCACTACTTGGAGGTTCGTCGTAGTAGAGCTATAAGTAGGGTAACCATATAATAACCCATATGTGGACTTGAAGCCTTTACTTGTATATACCCATGAATCTCCAAGTAGCCCCTTTAGCCTGGCCACAAATGAAGAGATCCCTCCCTGTTCATGTGTATAATTGCCGGAAAATGTCATTTTAGACGACGTGATCACCAGATGTTGCAACTTGTAACGTGGTTTTCGGACATCTCTTGTAGGGAACTAAACCCTAAACCCTAAACCCTAAACCGTGTAGGGAACTCATCATATTATGCACAGGTGCTTCAGGATTCAGGCAGCCCCTCAATTCCAAATATTTCTGTGAGCAGCAAATTCAAATCGCTTTGTCCCACCTGCAAACTATAGCGCCCACACATACAATCTCCGAAGACCATCGCAAAACCCCGGGCGCCAGAATCTGGAGAGGTGTTCCTTGACCGCCTAGAACCTCTTTGGGAAGCCTTCCTAAGTGTATATATATATATGCGAGTTTCCGAAAATTAGGTGTACCTTATGTTAAGTGTCCTTATAAAAGGGAACCTACTATTTTGGGTACCTACGATTTTGGGTACTATCTTAGGATACCCTATTTCCGGAAACCGCCATGTGAGTATTTGTATAGGAACGTCGAACCGTAAACCCTAACCCCCCCCTCATCCAGGATGCAGATCTTCGCCGACTGGACGGCGGGCAGACGCTGCCAGCCGAAGGCAGACGTGGGCCCGGCGACTAAATGACCAATAACCTGTCCCTTGAGGGTTCCTTTAAGGGTACCTGTAAGGGTACCATAAGGTTCTATAGGGTTTCGGGTTTAAGGCTCCATGTACCCGAATAGTATATACCTTGGGCCCAATGTATATATCTATATAGGGAGTACTTTAAAGGGCAACGTATATACTATTTGGGTACATGGACCCTCAGGGTGCAGTGCCGGGGGATGTTTAGGGTGTATGGAAACTGTGTGGCTCGGCGTTAATTGGGTTTACGGTAGGTTGCTGAAAAGTGTATGAGAGTATGTCAATGTGGCTACAAAAGATTCGCGGATGTCTCTCATGGTCTTATCTCGCCAGTGTGGCTGTCCATGAAAGGTCTGCCTAGGCTAAACCCAAACTCTGCGGTAGTAGCCCAGAGACTCCAACCTTATTAAGGAATATCGAATATCTTTTAAATTATGATAGGAACCGTATTCAGGTATATTCCTTGCTTAGGGGGTTTCGGAGTCTTTGGGAGGCTCTGAATCCTCAATCTTACATCCGGAAAGCATTTTTATGCCAACAAGAAACACTCCAGATTCTCCTGTGAGCTTAGAGTGACTTTCAGAATCGCGACCTCCAGCATTGGATGCTGTTAACTTCATAGACTCACCATTTCTGACGCCCACAGCAACAGTAAGTGGGGGCATGGGCCAGGGCTTCAGTGAAAGGCTTGGACATGCCCACTACCCAACAAAGGGCTTACTGCACGGGTCTTAAAAGTTGGAATGGCATTCCCTGGCGTTCTTTACTGTAGTTAGAGTATGATGTTCCCCAAAACCCTGTTCTCAGGGACTCCGAAACACTTGAATTCAGGAGAGTGCTTCAAATCATGATAGGGTTCCCATTATAATTTAGAAGGGCCGTTCCCCAATTTACGGGTTTTGGAGTCTATGGGCTCTAGTCACTGAGGCCCTGCATATGTGTTTGTGTGTTGCTTCCTGTCATCTCTTCAGCTTGCAGAACCCCTGGGTTGAAGCTTCAGGATTGTATGGACTTTAGGTTTTAGGGTTTAGGATTTAGGGTTTAGGATTTAGGGTTCAGGGTTTAGGAGTTAGGGTTTAAGATTTAGGATTTTAGTGACATTAGGGCTCGGGGTTTTAAGAGTTTGGGGGCCGGGTTTAGGGTTTACAGTCAGCCGCTCGTCACATCAAAGCATCTAGCACTTGTCCCACGGCCGTCAACTTCACACCCCGGTCCCCCCCCCAGACCTCAACCTAAAGTTTCATGGACATGCCGTAAAAAAGAGTTTACACCTATGCCCCCCCCCCCCCATAACAGAAACTAGCAAGCAACCTAGACACACTCTAAACCCTCAGCACATAGTCGATGAGAGGTGGGCTTGCTGGGGTTAAGCAGGACCTTTAAGGGCTCGCTGACAGAGCCCTTATGGTCCTTAATAATGGGTATGTGGGGTCTAGGTCGAGAGTAAGGGTTTTTCTTTATCACAGCTTTTGGCCCTAAACCCTACGCCCAAAACCGTTTGCCTTGTTTACTTGTTTCAGTAGACTGCTCTGCTCTATTGGTTTTTACGCCCGAACTGGGCTTCAGAGCAAGCCCCCGTCAGGCAAGACTCAAGCACATCGTTTAGGGTTTGTGCCCCATCTGCCTACTTATGTTTATAGCGGCTAGGGTTCCTGGAATTCGATATAGCCCTATTTATAGTGCACATAACCCTGCATCCTGCTCTGTAGGGAGCAGGGTTCCACTAAGGGTCAAGAGTACGGCTTCAGGATTTAGGAATTCCTGACAAAAACGCCATGCCTCACACAACGTTGGCACTGGTTGGTAGAAGCGTCTCGGGCAGGCTACGAGAAGGCCATTGCAGCCTTACTTCTGGAAAGCAGCTGACACGCGGAAAATCATCGTCTCTGAGCGAGCCCGCGACTGAATATCACACCACCCTAGGGCCCCAAAGTAGATCCTTTTAGGGGTTCATATATAGAATCCTATTAGGTATTCTTAAAAACGAACTACTTTGGGGCCTATATGGGCAGAAATATTAGTTATTCAGTCTCCGATTGAAACGTGACATGTCAAGAAGGTCTCCGATATCATGAACTGATGCATGGGTGTATGGTTCAGGCCAGGGGTTCGGGCTTAGAGTTCAGCGCAGGGTTCAGGGCTTTAAGTCTAGGGTTCAGGGCAGGTTTAGAGTTTAGGGTTTAGGGTTTAGGGTTGTCATCTGGCTTATGATTGGCACCAGCCCGGTCAGAAGATTCGGAGTCACGCGCACATAGAGACACAGATCCTTTGCTGGCTTGATGAGGGTCAACATGTCGAGCAGCCATGGTGATAGAGGTATAGGATGTGAGACCCACAAATGACATGAAGTATCGGCAGACAGATAGGTAGAGGGCGGCTTGCTATGTGTAAGAACCCCAAACCCTGAGCTATTCGTTTAATGGTCAGAGCGATAATTTCCAAAACCCCATAACCCCTAAACCCTAAACCTGCGACCCCAGACCCGAAACTCTGAAACGCATAGTTGTTAATGGGAAAAGTAGTATATGATTATGGTTACGGTAGAATAGCCCCATAGCCCTATTCTACTTACCAAGACTGTCAGACTATCCCAACAAAAACCTTGACGCTATAATCCGCCGGACCCTAATTTCTTCAATGCCACACCCTAAACCGCATAGCCGGAGAGTCCGAATCCCACATCCTTAAGTTTAACATAAGAGCTTGGGTTTAGGGTTGAGGGTTTAGGGTTTAGGGTTTAGGGTTTAGCGAGCCTTGCTTGGCGGTTTGTATACATCCGGTTTTGGTGGCTGCTTTTCTTGGATTTGTTTTCAGTTTCCCTTCATTCTATGGTTCGTATAGAGGTACCTATTCATGAACAGTTGCTTTGCAGGGTTCCAAAACTACAACCCAGGTTAGGCTTTCAGGGTTTAAGCTCGAATTTGTTGAGCTTCATGCCTACGGTGTTCTTGGGACTCAGATCCAAGGCTGTTCTACTACAAAGCCACAGCAAGAAGACACATACATACTCCTAAAAACCGAAACCCTGAAACTTCCAACCCCCTAAGCCCTAAACCCGAAAAGCCCTAAACTCTCTGCTGGTCGAGACCTGAATCTCGGAATTTAGAGATCCCTTTGTTCTGTAGTCCGTGTGGATGATTGTCAAAATTAGGGTCCCTTTTTGGGTACCCTAAATATTAGGTGCCGAATTATATTAAGGACCCAAGAAGGGACCCTAATTTTGACAACTACCCATGTAAAGTTGAACTAGATGTGTTCGCGGCGCGAGGCCTGGCGGGTTGCAGGGAAGTTGGGGTTGAACTGGCAGTGCTAACCTAAACTACAGCTTACTCCCAGGAACCCCCCCAATGGCCCGTTAATAAAGCCCTTCTGGCCCTTAATAGCAGGTATTTGGGGTATGTTAGAAGGTAGTTGGGGGGTCTAGGTTAGTGTTTTGCTGTTTAAGACTTTGGGATCCTAGCAATGCGACTGCGCCTTGTAGGCCATACTGCGGTCTCGATACATGTCGGCTCTCTTCGATGATTGACTTGGATCGCTGCTTATTAGCCCCTGGCTTAATATAGGGGCCTCAAGAATTACCTATACTATTTTGGGGTTCCTTATTATACTTATAGTATAATGGGCCACAAAACCCTGTTCTAATTGTTAAGGTCGATAAGTAAGCAGATGCTACTGTGGACCCTAACTCCCTAGCATTACGGGAAGCCAGCTTGTTGTTCTCGCAGGCTTGCTCGCAGGATACATTTTCTGGTGCACCTGCTTGATCCAGCGGTCCTCCCGTAAAGTAATCAGGGTGGCCTTTGGAGCAACTTGAGGTCAGGGGTCCTCCTTTCACCCTGTCATCAAAACTCGTCTGCAAAACATAATAGGCGATTTGCGATCACCCTACCCTAAGGCCCCAAAGTAGTTCCTTTTTGGGGGTTCATATATAGAATCCTGTAAGGTGCCCCCAAAAAGGAACTACTTTGGGGCCTATGGGTAGTAAGACCCGTGACCGGTATCCGTTAAAGGGCTAAGGTACTGCACGGGGCAGTGCAAGCGTTTAAGGTTTGAGGGTTTAGGGTTTAGGGTTTAGGACTTGCGCCTAAGTAACCCTAAGCCCCTTCACTGGGAAGTGTGTCGGGTTTAAGGGCTTGCGGTTTATGGATTTAGGCCTAAATATCGATCTCTCCATAAATGCAGCCCCCTCCAAACCTCAACCACCCCGTCATGTAAAGCCTGGACCGCTGAAGATCGAACCTTTCAGCCTCATGTCATGCACCTCCCACCTTCTGAACCTTCAACCGCAAAATCGCATCAGTACCACCACGATGAGCATTACATATATTACATCCTGAACCCTAAACCCTAAACCCTTCATGCCCGGAGCCCTAAGCCCCGGACCCCATCAAAGCAAACGTCAAGCCCGAACCCAAAACGCCAACTGCTCTCAAAGATACCGAGCAAACACTAATAACATGCAAGACACACGCAAACCCCCAAAGGCGCAAACAAGACACAGCAAGCACACAATACGCACACAAAAATGACCGTGCATGCACGCAAAACACCCTAAACTCGAAGCCGTAGACCCTAAACCATCCTAAACCCTAAATCCAAAAACCCTAAACCCCAAAACCCCAAACCCCTCGACCCTAAACCCTAAAACCCTGAACCCTAAACCCTAAACACGAGGGGCTCGGATCCCAAGCCCTAGAAGAGCGATGGCCCCGGCTCGGTACCTCGGAGTTCTTTCAAGGCTCGGGGAGCTTTTGGGGTTCAGGGGTTTAGGGCTTAGGGGTTTAGGGTTTAGGGGTTTAGGGTTTAGGGGTTTATTTGGGTTTATCGGGGTTTCAGGGTCTAGGGGTTTTGGGGGGTTTAGGGTTTGTAGGGGTTTTGGGTTTTGGGGGGTTTTGGGGTTTATATTGGGGTTTAGGGTTTATAGGCGTCTAGGGCTTTTACCCTTGGAGAAAAGCCTCTCCCGTACTCTGTGCCAAGCATACGCTCCAGTCTGTCCGGAGAAGGTCCGCAAACCAGTTGGATTGCAGGTACCGAAGGAGCCGCAGCACAGATTTTCGCTTTCACTTATCTAGTGTCTCGGTGCCTGGAAGTCCTAGGCCCGGAGCAAAGATGCCGCCCATCCAGCTGGAAGACCTGCTCAGACACGCCAACCTGTCTAAGAAGGCAGTTCAGCGCAACAAGTTCCACTCTGAAGAGCTCCTTCGACATCTCACTGGCTCTTGGGCATCGGAAGAGGCGCTGGCAATGATGCCGGAGAAGAACAAGCCGACTGGCCTGCCACAGAGGGGCATCAGCGTGTCGCAGATGCGCATCGCGATAGTGACACCCGAAATTGCCGTAAACTGTTTGCACAAGGCGGCTTTCAGCGAGCAGACACCACCTGGATAGCAGTTACGGCTGGTACATCTTGAATCCTGCGGCAGGACGGCGCCGAATGTTTAAAGATATCTTGTACTTAAGGCCACCATCTTCACCACCACCACCACCACCACCACCACCACCACCACCACCACCACCACCACCACCACCACCACCACCACCACCACCACCACCACCACCACCACCACCACCACCACCACCACCACCACACTCATGAACATCCTACAACACCGCGGAGGTAAGCCTCAAATCATATAACAGATATGGTTTGCTTGGGTTGCATAAAGCCCTAAGACTAAAACTAAAACCCTAAGGCCCTTTTCGAGCCAGTATGATAGGATCCGTGTAGCTACCCTAAGGCCCCAAATTAGTTCCTTTTTGGGGTTCATATATAGAATCCTTTTTGGTATTCTTAAAAAGGAACTACTTTGGGGCCTATGGGTACCGTAACGAACCCCTGGAGTCCTAGAGGAACCGATTGGGATTGGGGGCTTCAGGTGAACGCAGATGCGAGCCAGAGAGCAGGCGCGGGGTGATGGTGATAGTTTCTTAGGGTTTATGGCTATGGTCCATGGTTTCGTGCAGGGCGGGGCTTCTCTGAGAGCGAAGCTTTATGATTTTATGGCGGCCTTGAATATACTATTTGGGTCCATGTACCCAATAGTTTATAATTTGGCCTTACAGTAGTCTCTGGATAGGGACTGTGGGCCGTGGGCCAAAGCATGTACTGTCTGGGCACTTTACACACCCAGATTATAGACCCTAAACCCTTATGGAGTTACAAGGTTTGATCGGGTTCGAGAAGCACTTTGTGAGCCCGCTGCAAAGGTGTTTTTTTGGAGTTCTAAAGATGCTTTTCTCTGGTATGAACAAGGACTTCGTTTTGCGTGTTTTGGATGTTCGGGCCAGATTTGGTGTGTTAGAGGTTTGGGGTTTTAGGGTCTTTGTGCTTATGCCGTTTTGTGGTCTTCAGGTTGTAGGCCTTCTTAGGATTGGGTGTTTGGTAGTCGCGTTTGTTTCAGTTGGGTGGTTAGTCTTTCGGCATCTAGCGGTTTAGAGGTTGTTGGGCTTGTCTCTCGACAAAGATTTCACCGTGTTTGAAACGGAGCTCCTGTCGCTGCATCACCAGGGACCCTAAACCCTAAGACCGAGAAATCCAACATCGATCTCTATCGAAGCGTGGTCAACACTTCATTGCCATTGGCGGTTTGCCGCCAGTCTGGCATTGTGAGCGCAAGAGCCATGTCGTAGCAGCCTGACACCTTCACAACAGCACTTCCTTGTCTGACAGGAGTACTTGGAGGGTCGGGGGACTTAGTAACTGGTCATTTTAGGGACATAGAAGTACCATAACCCCAAATAGGGCCCCTTGTAGGGTACTTATAAATCTACTTACTACCTACTTACTAAGTCCCCACCCTCCAGGTAGGACCCAGACCCTGTACCTAGGGAGACATGTCTTGCTGTCCTGGAACAGCTCAGGGTTT